ACTACTCCAACAAACTACCCATAGTTGAGTAAGTGCCGGCACAAGAAGAATAAAAAGGAAACTTTGGCAAGAGAAACACACGGCCAGCCCTACTCAAACATCAGCAAATTTTCATACTTTGATTTTCTCTGCACATGCTTCCAGATTTCGTTTTTCAGCACATATTTGGTATTCCAGCACAGATTCCATTAGAATTAGGTTGTTTTTCATCATTCCAGTAGACAAATTAATTCCTATATTCAGTTAAACAATTTCCTTTTATGCAATGAAATCCTTTAAGTTTATGCAAGGTATTCTTTTCTTTTCATTTGTAATTAATTTAATGTTTATGTTAAGTAGCATTGCTTCAATGATTACTTATGTGGCTTTCATGCTTCTTTCTAATTTCAAGTTCTTCAATTTCTTCACTGTTCACATTTTAATTTTAGTGTTAATTTAGGAGTAAATTTCCAGTTCTGCAGCAATTTAATTTCTAAATCTGTCAATAGATTGCATTTTAATTTTACAATGAGCATGTTTAGTTTAATTTGGGCATAGCTTTTTCTCGCAAATTTACTTTAAATTGCTGGTAATTTAGAGTAATTACGATCTGTTAATTTTAAGTCATGATAGTGTTTTAAGTCCTTGGAGTTGTCCAAGGCAGATTTCGTAACCCATTTTGCAGTAAGGTATCCCTCTCTTTTGCAAATCGTCTGATGGCGCAATTTCAATTTTAATCCAACGTTCTTCCCGCCATCTGTGAAGAGGTCGACCGTGAGGAAGGAGAGGGTCGTTGGGAAAGTCCTTCTTTCTTACTTTCAACAAAGTAAGTGGCACGCCCGCAACCAGATTTCACACGTGCGAGGCCACTAGAGGATTTTTGAGGAAACAATCCTTTTTTGGCACGCCCAGTGGGACCTCATCGTGTCTTACTTACAGTTTTCAAATCCGTTGTTCTTTTTTCCAAGAAAAGGTGCAATCATGCCACCAAAAAGAAACCTTGGGAAGGCTGTCAAGACTTTACAGATTGGGCTTGGTGAAGGCAGTCCAACACATTCAGAAGGAGAGAATGAGCCAATCATTCCACCACCATTGTCACCAATACTTAGGGAGCATTCTTTTGTCAATCCTACCTTCAACAAGGGTAGTGA